CGCTTTTTCCTCTCTGTGTGGTTTATTTAGAGCAGGAATTCTCTGGTTTATTCAATGTTAAAATCCCTGATTTTAACAGGGATTGGGTGTGTTTATTTAGAGCAGGAATCCTCAGTCCTGCACATCATCCCCATAGCAAAATTTGGGAGCAAGAGGAATTCGGGGCACTTTTTCTTCTCTGTTGTGGTTTATTTAGAGCAGGAGTCCTCTGTCCTGCGCATCATTCCCATAGCAAAATTTGGGAGCAAGAGGCTCTGAATTTGGGCACTTTTTCCTCTCTGTGTGGTTTATTTAGAGCAGGAATCCTCAGTCCTGCACATATTCCCCAGCAAAATCTGGGAGCAAGAGGAATTCGGGGCACTTTTTCCTCTCTGTGTGGTTTATTTAGAGCAGGAATCCTCAGTCCCTGCGCATCATCCCCATAGCAAAATTTGGGAGCAAGAGGCTCTGAATTTGGGCCCTTTTCCTCTCTGTGTGGTTTATTTAGAGCGGGAATCCTCAGTCCTGCACATCATCCCCATAGCAAAATTTGGGAGCAAGAGGCCTCTGAATTTGGGCCCTTTTCCTCTCTGTGTGGTTTATTTAGAGCAGGAATCCTCAGTCCTGCGCATCATCCCCACAGCAAAATTTGGGAGCAAGAGGAATTCGGGCGCTTTTTCTTCTCCAAGCAGCCAGGAGAGGGAGACAGTGACCGCCGTGTCCCCGCGCTGCCACCGCCGATTGTCGCCGATTGTCGCGCACCCTGACCCTGGCGGGGCTCCCCTGGGCCCCGAGCTCTGCGTTCTCCTCTGGCCGTGTCCACAGGGGGTCCGAGGATGAGGGAAGGGATGAGGATCTGACTCCGTGTTTCAGAAGGCTTGATTTATTATTTTATGGTATATATTACATTAAAACTATACTAAAAGAATAGAAGAAAGGATTTCAGCAGAAGGCTGGCTAAGAATAGAATCAGAAAGAATGAAAACAAAGGTTTGTGGCTCAGACTCTCTGTCCGAGACAGCTGGACTGTGATTGGCCATTGATTAGAAACATCCACATGAGCCCAATCCCAGATGCACCTGTTGCATTCCACAGCAGCAGATAACCATTGGTTACATTTTGTTCCTGAGGCCTCTCAGCTCCTCAGGAGGAGAAATCCTGAGGAAAGGGTTTTTCATGGAAAGGTGTCTGCGACGTTCTCCCTGCCGGCAGAGGAATTTTCGGGGCAGCAGCTCCTTTGGGAGACCCTGGTCTGATTTATCTCGTGCTCTTGCCCTTTCTCTGCCCAGAATACAAAAAAAAAAACCAAAAAAGTGACCAGGAGAAAGCTGAGCTCCACCACTTCAGGGATTCCCTGCAGATGTGGTGGTGGAAAAGTTGATTTTGAAGGAGCAGAATCCAGCTGGGAAAGCCCCCACCAGGGCAGACAGGGCCACCTGAGGCTCTTCCTCACTGGTTTCATGCTGGTTCCTGTGTTGGGCTGCAGAATAAGGGAAGGCAGCTCTCCCACATGAAATTCCCTGGGTTTTTGGTTGGTTTATTCATTTTTTTTTTGCCACACTGGGCTTTTTAAAAGCAGGTAGATGATCAGGGTGAGGCAGAGCTCCTGTGCCTGCACCCCATCTGTGTCAAAAAGTGACAGAAGTCATTGTCCTGCTCACTGCAGCTCATCACACACCAGCAACTCCAATTCCTGCTCTGCACAGCCCTGCATCCCTAAAAAGGGGAACAGCAGCTCCTGGGAGCCTCTTTTTCCACCAGATCTGGGATCTGGCGTGGGCTCAGCTTCCATGGCCATGCCTTGGGAAGGGCTGTGACCCCTCCTGCTCCTGGCAGGTCATTGATGCATTAAGAATTTTCAAAGGTCTTTAATTTTAAAATTTAAAAAGATCTGGAAGAACATTTTGATGCCCTTTCCTTAACTCCATGAATCTAGGCAGCAACAAAAAAAAAGAAAACAAATTCCAAAGTTCCCCCAAAAATGCTGCTTTTGATTCTTCATAAACACTGCAAGCAGGAGAGAGAAAGAAAGAAATAAAGAAAGAAAATCCCCCAGGATTTCTCTTTTTCCCCCATTATTACAGGTACAGCTCCTCTCTGGCCCTGTCTGGAGGAGCTTTAATCATGGCAGAGCAGGAAGGGAATGGGAATGAAATCACCTGCCTGCCCTGCTGGGAAATGAGGTTTCAGCCCAGCTGGGATCCAGGGCAAGGCACAGGAGGGATTTTTATCCAGAGCAAAGCACAGGAGAGATTCTTAAATTTAAATACTGCAATATCCACAGGATTAATTCCCGTGTATGTGTCTGGAGCAGACAAATATGAGGGATGAACTTCCCTGACAAACTCTGTTCCCAAAAGGACCTTGGGGCTGTTGGGATATCAGCACTGGGGTGGGAAATCAGAGGGGCAATCAAGGCCTGAGCACAGCAAAGCACCTGGCAGAGCAGGGATTTGGGATTCCTCCTAAAAGGTGGAACTGTTCCAAGTTTGTGGGGGTTTTTTGGGGTTTGTTTGTTTGTTTGATTGATTTATTTTGGGGGTTTTTTTGGTTTTTTTTGCCTGATGAAGCTGCTCCTGCCCCCCCCAGCCTGCTCCTGCTCCTGCTCCCTCTGCCCAGCCTGGCTGTGCTGGGATGATCCCACACCAAGGGCCACGTCCCCAGCAAGGGACAAGGTCCTGGTGAGGTGGGACAAGGTTCTGCTGAGCTGGGACAGGATCCTGGTGAGGAGGGACATGGTCCTCGTGAGCTGGGACATGGTCCTGCTGAGGTGGGACACGGTCCTGGTGAGGTGGGACATGGTCCTGGTGAGGTGGGACATGGTCCTGGTGAGGAGGGACAGGGTCCTGGTGAGGTGGGACACGGTCCTGGTGAGGTGGGACAAGGTCCTGCTGAGGTGGGACACGGTCCTGGTGAGGTGGGACATGGTCCTGCTGAGGTGGGACAGGCCAGCTGAGCAGGGATTGCATTTTGGGGCTTCCTGTTTCCCTGCTGGGATGTGCTCTGCACATCACCCTGGTGCTGGATGTGAGGTGGGTCAAGGTTTTGGGGCCACCAAACCCCCACCCCAAGAATCCACAGCAGTGGAACAGCAGCTCTGGAGGGCTCGGGTTTGGGGCTGGGCTGGTCAGACTCTGGTGGGAATGTGGTGGCTCCCAGGGCCAGCCCATGGAGCAGCTGAGGCTCCCTGCACCCGTGTCAAGGCTGGGGCTGTGCCACAAGGCAGGGGTGACACTTGTGTCCTCTGCAGAGGGACAGGGCCTTCATTTCTGTGCTGCTTTGCACAGGGAGCTCCGAGCTTCTCTCAGGGAAGGATGCAGGAGCTGTGGGGTTCTGCTGGTCGGAGATTTGCCTTCTGAAGTCACCAGGGCTCTTCTTCAAGTGGCTTTGGGACGCCTGAGTGGTGACCAAGCCCAGGTGACATTCCAGGCTGGCCGGACAGGCCGTGCGCCCTTTGCATCCCTTGGCAGCCAATTCCTGCGCGGGGAATGAGGCGGGAGCAGGGCTGACACTGAGCTTTGGTTTGTCCTTGTGCTGTCGTGGCAGGACGTGGCGAGGTGACAGTCGGGGCTGTGGGGGATGCTCTGACAGCCCGCTTGGACCTGGGGACCGCAGGGGACCCGCAGGGGACCCAGAGCCCGCGGGTCTGTGCGGGAGAGGCGCCACACTGCGGTGAACGGCTCCGGCTCCCCTTGGTGCTGGCACGGCTCCGTGTCCCCGCCGTGTCCCCGCCGTGTCCCCGCCGTGTCCCCGCTGTCCCCGCGACCACCGAGCGACCCCGGCCCGCAGCGCCGCCCGCAGCCGCCAGAGGGCGCCACACGCCGCAGTGGGGGAGCCGCACCCCCCAAAATCCCTTCAATCTGCTCCCCAAAATCCCTTCAATCTGCTCCCCAAAACCCCTTCCAACTCACCCCAAAATCCCTTCAATCTACTCCCCAAAATCCCTTCAATCTGCTCCCCAAAATCCCTTCCACCTGCTCCCCAAAACCCCTTCTACCTCCCCCCCAAATCCATTTCATCTCCCCAAAATCCCTTACACCACCTCCCCAAAGCCCTTTCCACCTCCTCCCTAATTTTCCCCCTCTCCTCATTCCTCTCCCCCCACCCAATTTATCTCCTCAAATCTTCTTCCCTCCCCCCAAACCTTTCTCTTCCTTCCCCATGCCTGTCCCCCTCTGCTCAATCTCTCCCCCTCTCCCCAATTCTTCCCTTTCTCTCCAAGCCTTTTCTCCCTGATTCTTTAACCTCTCCCCAAATCTTTTTTCTCTCCTTCCCTCTCCTTCCCTGTCCCAAATCTTTCCCCCCCATTTTTCTTCTCTCCTTCCCCTCTCTCCCCCTTCCCCAGATCTTTTCTCCCCAAATCTTTTATCTCCAAATCTTTTCTACCCATACCTCTTCCCCCTCCCATCCCTCCACTCCCCTTTTCCCAAACCTCTCCTCCCACTCCCTTCTCCTCAGACCTTTTCTCCCTGATTCTTTCACCTCTCCCCAAATCTTTTCTCCCCAAATTTTTTTCTCTCCTTCCCTCCACTTCCCCGTCCCAAATCTTTCCTCCCCATATTTTTTCTTTTCTTTTCTTCCCCATAATTTTTCTTCTCTCCTTCCCTTCCCTCCTCCTTCCCCAGATCTTTTATCTCCAGATCTTTTATCTCCAAATCTTTTCTCCCCAGATCTTTCATCCCCAAATCTTTTCTCCCCATACCTCTTCCCCCTCCCCATCCCTCCCCTCCCCTTTCCCCAAACCTCCCCTCCCACTCCCTTCTCCCCAAACCCTTTTCTCCCCTCCCTCCCCGCACTCCGCCGTCCCCTCCCTCTCGCCCATCTCCCACCGCAGTGTCCCCCCTGCTTGGGCTCTGCCCGTCCCTCCCGCTCCGGTCCCGCCCCGGTTCCGCCTCCCGCAGCCGCTCGCAGGGGCTGGGGCTGGGGCTGGGGCGCAGGGAGCCAGCCCCGCTCCTCCGGCTGCACAGCGGGCACAGCGCCGGGCAGGGCACAGGAGGAGGAGGAGGAGGAAGAGGAGGAGGAGGAGGAGGACGATGGGGCGGCGGCGAGCGGCGGCGGCGGCGGGGCGGCTGGCGCAGCCCGAAGGCAGCGGCATGGAGCCCGGCGCCGGTGCAGAATGAAGGGTGCCTGCCGCCCCCCCCGCAGACATGTCTGTGCCTTTACTCAAGATTGGAGTCGTCCTCAGCACCATGGCCATGATCACCAACTGGATGTCGCAGACGCTGCCCTCCCTCGTGGGGCTCAACACCACCAAACTCACGGCGGCCACGGGCGGCACCTTGGACCGCAGCACGGGAGTAAGTGCGGGAGGGCTGCGGGGCACGGGGAGGGCTGCCCGGAGCATCCCGGAGCATCCCGGAGCATCCCAGCCTCCCGGAGCCTCCCGGAGCGTCCCCGCATCCCGGAGCGTCCCTGCGGCCGCTCCCCGCCGCCGCGCAGTCCCTCCCCGCCCGGCTGTCACATCTCTCCTTGCCCGGGTGTCCCCGTGGCCGGCAGGGTCCCCCCCTGCAGGATCGCCGCCCCTCGAGTGTCCCCGCGGTGCTGCGGGAGCGGGCATGGGGCGCTGGCAGGGCACGGGGGTGACGGCGCAGGGAGCGTCTCTGCCTCTCCCCTCCTCTCCTCTTGCTCGGCCACCCCCGCTTGGTGCCGGGGGTGACTCGGCTGCCTCCCCGCGCCGTCCCTGCCGCCGAAGGGATGCAAAGTTTCCCTCGTGGCCGCTGCAAAAGCCGCCGGGGGAGCGGGCGCCAGTCCCGGGAGGCGCCTCCGCTGCTCTCCCTCCGCGATCCGCCCTCGGAGGGATGGGGAGGATGCAGCCGGGCTGGGCACCCCCTGTCCCCGCTCTGCTGGAGAGCCGGGGCCGTGCCTGAGCTTCCCACCTTGGGAATGGCTGGGAAAATCATTGCAGTCTGTCTGTCTGTCTGTCTTCCCTGAGCAGGGAGAGTCGGGCACCTTTCTCCTGCAGGCTGCACGCTCGTGCTTTCTGACAGAGCCCCGCTGCTGCAGCTCTGCTGTTCCCGGAGTATTCCGTGTGGTGCTTCTGCTGCTCAGTGAATGGAGCTGGGATCTTTTTATTTTTTTTCTCCACGTTGTCAGGGTTTATGAGATCCATTTATTATTCTTTTTTTTTTTTTTTTTTTTTTTTCCCGGTTGTTTTAGCCAGGGAATCCAATTGCGCGTCCGCCTGGGCATGTCTGTCAACGTGGGCATTTGCAAGGTGATTTGTTCTGTAGGGAAGTGGTGGAAGGAACATTTCCCCTCTGGTTGGGGACACGGTGACACCTTCAAAGTGCTCCGAGCATGGGTTAGCATTAACTAATGGATTATGCCGTGAGACAGAAGGAAAATTGAGAGCAGAGAGGGGAACGCGCTGTGTTTGGGGTGGGCTCCGTTCCCCGGCGTGCCCTCAGCGCTGCATCGCGTCCCTGCTGGGATTCTGCACAGGGCTCGGCTCCGGGCTTCCCCTGCCTGGAGAGGAGGGGAGCGATTGTCCGGGGAAGCTCCTCATGCCCGGGGAACGGGCACAGAGACGGGGGGAACGGAACTCGGGGTGTCCGTAGGTCGGGGTGTCTGTAGGTCGGGGTGTCCGTACCTCGAGCGTCTGTACCTCGGGGTGTCCGTGCCTCGGGGTGTCTGTAATTCAGGTGTCCATGACTCAGGGTGTCCGTAATTCGGGGTGTCCATACCTTGGGGTGTCTGTGACTTGGGGTATCCGTGCCCTGGGGCGTCCATAATTCGGGGTGTCCTTACCTCAGACTGTCCAAACCTCTCGGTGTCCGTACCTCGTGGTGTCTGTAATTCAGGGTGTCCGTGTGTCCGTACCTCGTGGTGTCTGTGTGCTCAGCCCAGCGCGTCTCCAGCTGCCAGACCCGGCCCCAGACCCCGGCGGGCTCTGCAGAGCTGGGGGCACTGCTCAGCCCTCGGCAGGGCACTGTGCCCTCCCTGGTGGCCCGGGCACGTCCCTGTCCCCGTGTTAAGGAGGGCTCTGTCCCCATCCCTGTCCCCATGTTAAGGGCTCTGTCCCCATCCCTGTCCCCATGTTAAGAAGGGCTCTGTCCCCATCCCTGTCCCCGTGTTAAGGAGGGCTCTGTCCCCATCCCTGTCCCGGTGTTAAGGGCTCTGTCCCCATCCCTGTCCCCGTGTTTAGGAGGGCTCTGTCCCCATCCCTGTCCCCGTGTTTAGGAGGGCTCTGTCCCCATCCCTGTCCCGGTGTTAAGGAGGGCTCTGTCCCCATCCCTGTCCCCGTGTTAAGGAGGGCTCTGTCCCCATCCCTGTCCCCGTGTTAAGGAGGGCTCTGTCCCCATCCCTGTCCCTGTGTTAAGGAGGGCTCTGTCACCACAGCAGGGCAGGGCTCCCACCCCGATGTGCCCAGCACCCGGAATTTTCACTGTTCCCTGTGTCCCTGCTTTCCCACTCGCGTTGCCTTCGTGTTTTCAGCTCTTCCTCTCCTTTTCAGACCTTTCTCTGATTCGTCCCCAATCCATATTTTTGCATTCCAAGTGAATTTTGCCAGCTGGGCCCTCAGAGGAGCCTCCGCTTCCTGCCACGTCCTCATCCCCCTTCACCTCCCAGAGCCCTGCCAGGCCTCCCCTGGTTAATTAACCCATCTCTCCCTGTGTTAATTAGGTGTTGCCTACCAACCCAGAGGAAAGCTGGCAGGTGTACAGCTCTGCCCAGGACAGCGAGGGACGTTGTATATGCACAGTGGTGGCACCTCAGCAGACGATGTGCTCGCGTGATGCCAGGACAAAGCAGCTGAGACAACTCCTAGAAAAGGTAATGCTTGGCCCCTGCTGCCAAAAGTGCTTTGGTTTGGTGGGAGAGAAACCTGAGCTGAGCCTTGGTTTCCAGGGAAAACCCCTTGGGATGGTTTTTCCATGTGGAGCTGTCCCTGTGTGTGTAGTGGGGAATAATCAGCTGAGGGCAGGAGGAGAATTCTCTTCAAGTGTTTTCTGAGAGGAGAGCCTGGCCTAAGGTCAAGGGAAAACTGCTGAGATCAAAGCACCAATATTGAACCGTATCTCTAAAAAAAAAAATCTTAAAAATAAAAAAAATCCCCTTTTTTTATTCTGTTGGCACAAGCAGTTTGAGAGCAGACTCAGCAACAGGAGAGGAGAGAGAATTAAAAGCCCAAAGCCAAGCTTTTCTAGGCAAGGTGGTATTGAAAAGGTCAAGTGAAACCCTGCAAGCTGTCGCCAGCAGGTAGCACAGAGATGACTCTCAGTGGTTTTCTGCCTAACGTTGACATCCTCTTGATTAGTTTTTAATAGTCTGCTGTCCGAAAAGATCAAAAAATCTCATTAGGGAAACATCCCCAATAACAAGGAATTTTCCAGATAATAGATTTCAGTGAAGAAATGCTGTTTCATGTGAAATTGTGCTCTTGTCTTGCAAATATGAGCTGGCTCCTGTGCTGGATATATAATTAAACCCCATCCCCTAATGCTATATTGGCCTGTGCCGTGCATGACAAAAGAATTTTCATCCTGCTGCTTTGGGGAAAGCTGCTGTATTAATTCCCTCTAACAATATTAAACCTCCACTTAACTGATTTCCCCATGTGCTGGGGACAATAAAGCCAGCCAGGAAACATTCAGCCCTAAAACAATCCTTTGGGTTGTCAGAGGCTGCTAAAAATAATCCCAAGTCAGGCTTTTCTTTCTCACAGCAATAACACCCTGGGTGCTTTTGCTCCTGAGAGGCAGCAGGATTTATAAACAGCTCAGAGGTGCTCCCAGAACTCCTCATCCGCTCCAAACAATCAGGATTTGACCCAATGCCCTCTGCTGATGGGCAGGAGTTGGGAATGGGAGACCTGGGATAACATCAGGAGGGTGGAGGTGCTCAGTGGGGTTTTTTTTAATGCAGCTCTCTGGCTGCCAATGGAGATAAAGTGAGGGAGGAGCAGGATTTCTGGGCGTGTGTTGTGGGATATGATACCTGCCTGCTAATCTGGCTGCATCTCACTCCCACGCTAACCTATATGAAAAACCCCAAAATAAGGAACAGGCTCTCAGTGCCAGACATCTGATCCTGATGGAGGCTGAGCTGATCATCCCTGGAGGTGCAAACAACTGCAGAGCAGAGCTTCCAGCTTCCCAGGGAGGATTTCAGTCCTGAAAACTCCTTCCCTCCGCTGGCATTCTAACCCTGGCTCTGTGATGGGGGGAAATTGCAGCTCCTGGTTTCTCCCTGGCAGCAGAGGAAGCAGCACAATGTGTCCAGGGGGAAATTGTGGTTGGGCTTTCCAAGGAGCAGGCGTGGAATTCACCCATGGAAATGGTGTTGCAAGGCATCAGCTGCTTGTGTGTGCACACAAAGCAATTAGAGCATCTTCAGGGAAATCTCCATGCAGGAATCTTTTGGGATTTGGAGGTTCAGAGCTGCCATGCTCAGCTCATGGGGATGAGGATGTAGGAAGGGAAGGAGTTCTGGGCACCCTGGCAGGTCACAGAGGGGAGGGAGGGCAGCCAGGGCTGCTCAGGGTGTTCAGCCCAGGGTTTGACACTCGAGGGGTCTGAGCTCATCCTTGGCTGGGCCACGCCGAGTCCTTCCAGCCTCACACGTGGCAGGTGCTGAGTGCAGCCCTTGGACTGCACCCAAACCAGGACATCACCTCAGTCCTGCTCATCATCAGGTTGTGTTTGATCTCCAAACAGAATCTGATTGATTGATTGATTTGTTTATTTGTCTGGCCCTGTTATCGGGCACAGCTTCCTCTTCTGCCGGTGAAACCATTTCTGGTTTCCTGCCAATCCTTCCTCTCAGCCAGTGCTGATTTCCAGATTTTACAGCTCTTTTTGTTCCTCTGATTGTCACTCCCAGGACGGTGCCATCTCTTCTCAGCCATCACTGCCTCGTGCAAACCTTATCAGATGAACTTTTCATTTCCTGAACCATCAGCTGAGTCCATTCCTCTGCTGATTTTTCCCCTAAACCTTGAAAATCTCCCCCAAGATTCCTCTTGCTCCATCAGTTTGTGCAGCTCCCCAAGGCTGAAGGTTGACCCCAGCTGAAACCCCAGAGCTGGGCTCAGAACAACCCTTTTGGAGCTGCCAGGAAAGGCTGATCCACAGGGAAGTTTGAGCAGGGTTTAAACCTTGGATCTGACCTTATAAACCTCACTGAGGTCATCAGGCCAACGCTGACTCCCTGTGACTCTGGTTTAATTGTGAATCAGCTCCTCAAACAGGATGACAAGAGCAGCACTGGAAGCTTCATTTGTATTAATTTCCTATTTCAACTGCTAAAAATAACTCTTTTCCCCCAGACAGCCACAGGTATCTGTCTCACATTATCTTGGTGAAAATGAGGTTTCAGGCTGAGAGAGGAGGCAAAAAGCATTTTCAGGCGAGGTTGGAGGACTGCAGCTGATGGATGGAGCTGAGGGAATTTAAGAGGCACTATCCTTGGGCCTGAGTTCATTAGAGCACTTCTGTACATGCTTCAGCCTGGGCTCCAACAGGCTCATTGAAACCTAATCATGTGCCAAAGTGCTTTGCTGGATCAAGGGCATAATATGCTAATGAGGGAAAAGAGGCAGATCCTCAGTGCTGGGGCTGGCAGGATTCTCAGGCTCATCCCTGCAAATCTGGCCAGGACCTCGCCCGATGCAAAACAACACAGGCAACAAACACCCACTCTGGGCTTGTGAAACCCACCCCAGAACAGCACAGCAGCTCAATTGAGGCACCTCTGTGCAGAGGCACGTGAGGAGGGAATTTTCCTGTGCTTCAGGGGGGAGCAGAAACGTTCCAGAGGTGTTTGAGGGCAGCAGCCTGGGCGAGATGCTCTCAGAGCAGAGCACGTCCCTCCCTCCCCACCACCCGAGAGAGAGCCCAAGGAGCCTCCCAAAATTTTACTCAGCAGACTCAGGTATTGCTCTGTCATTACAGAAATGCTCTTTTTCTGGTTATTTGCAGCTGGGGTTAGGCACTAGTGGAATAAATGGGATTAATTTTGCATGAGCCCTACAAGTCACCCCTCTCTCTGCTCCTTGGAACCATTCTGCTGCTCAGCTCGAAGGACAGGCTGGATGATTGGAATAAAAGCAGCTTGGCAGCCCAGCCATGCTTGTCTAAGGCTCCTCTTCTCCTGCCTCAGGGCACAGAGAGGTCTTCAAACCCCTCCACATGCAGCCCAGGTGAATGAACACCCGCTGAGAGCTGACATTCCCTGCGGTAGGCACAGCTTAATGGGAGCTGACCAGGCTCTGGCTGAGCTCAGCTTTGCTCTTTTCTCCTCCAAACCTTGTTCTGCACTTCCCTGCTCCTCACACCTCCCTGAGCAGCTCCTGGGGAGGTCAGGGTGCTGCTGCTTCATCTCTGAGCCTCAGAGACCACAAATAGCTTCACCTTTGCTGAGGAACACTCTGGCCCCCGGAGCAGTTGTACAGAACACTCCAAAGCCTGTTGGCCTTTGCCATGCAGCTCACCCATACATTTTTAATAGACCCCTGCAATAGTTTCAGTGTCATCCTGCATGAGCAACGGGCACTGTGATGGTTTTTCCAAGCTGGAGGGGCACCCTTGGCATTTGCCCTGTGCTGTCCTGCCGTGCCCTCACTCTGCCACTCCAGGTAAGTCCCAGCCCACCACAGTGGGATTTGCCAGAGGAAATGTGGGATTTGACAGAGGAAATGTGGGGTTTTCACCACTCCTTCCCTCCCCACCCCAGCTTGGCTGCAGTGAGGATGCAGACAGGAGCGGATGTGGCACCCATCCATCCGGGGAGCAGATCCATCCATCCACCCACAGCCGAGCAGGATGGGAGAAGGATGGGATCAGGCTGAGAGCAGGATGGGAGCAGGATGGAATCAGGATGGAATCAGGCTGGAAGCAGGATGGGAGCATGATGGGATCGGGCTGGGAGCAGGATGGAAGCAGGATAGGAACAGGATGGGATCAGGCTGGGATCAGGATGGAACAGGCTGAAAGCAGGATGGAAGCATGATGGAATCAGGATGGGATCAGGCTGGGAGGAGGATGGAAGCAGGATAGGAACAGGATGGAAACAGGATGGAATCAGGCTGGCAGCAAGCTGGGAGTGGACTGGGATCAGGCTGGGATCAGGCTGGGATCAGGCTGGCTCAGGAGCAAGGCCCTGACGCAGCAGCAGCAGCAGCAGCAGCAGGCTGGGTGCCTGATTCACTTTACCCACAGACGTCATGGTGGTGGTGGCACTGCTGGGGTGACGTGGCGGTGGCAGGAGCAGCAGCCGTGGGCTGAGCCCTGTCACATCCCCACCGTGGGACAGACACGTCCGGCCCCGCTGCAGAGCCCTTAAATACGGCTCGGTGCTAAATAGGAGCTGACGTCAGACCCGTTCCACCTCTCCCAGCCTGGAAAACAGGAGGGAATATCTTAATAAATCAGATGGCAGCCAACCTTCAAAATCAGGTCAGCCTCGCTGGCGTTCCCCTCCCCTCCTCACACCTCCAGCCCGTTTTGTCACCGCCAGCCCAGCCAGGCTCCTTGCATCGAGGCCAGATGGGCTCCGGGCGGGAATGCGGCAGCGCTCGGCTCCCACAGGGGTGCCAACCATGCCCGGTGCTCCCCGGCCCCAGGATGCCCTCCCTGCCCCTGGGTTGGATGTGGCAGGTGCTGCTGGAGCAGGCTGGGTGGATCGTGAAGTTCTGCTGGTTTGTGCTCACCAGGGGATGGAAATGTGCACCTGGGCTGGAGCTTTCCCTCCCAGCCAGGTGTGCTGCTGTCACCTCTGAGCTCACCCCGTGCCACAGCAGGTGCCTGTCAGAGAGGCCAGCCTGAGTTTAACCTCAACTACACCCCTCATTTCCATGTCAGATTGCTGAATCCTTCTCTGCAGAAAGAAAAAAAATCATTTATGAAAGCGGTTTTGCTGTGTTTTAGAGCACGGGGTGGTAATCTGGGAGCTGCTGTTGATGAGGCAGTAAATAATGCATGGGCTGATTGCCCTTTAGCTGTGCTGAGCTTGTGGGAAAGGTCAGCCTTGGGATGCAAGGGGGGCTGCCTCGCTGCTGGCAGCACTTTTTAATGAGTCCCTTCTCGTTTGGCAGGTGCAAAACATGTCCCAGTCGATAGAGGTGTTGGACAGGAGGACTCAGAGAGACCTACAGTACGTGGAGAAGATGGAAAACCAGATGAGGGGACTGGAATCCAAATTTAAGCAAGTGGAAGAAAGCCACAAGCAGCACCTGGCAAGGCAGTTTAAGGTAGGTCTGATTTCCAAACTGCTACAGGAGCTGTGCCCAGGGGATTGTGGCCCTGGCTCCCATCAGGGGAGCCCAGCTGTGGGGTCCTTCCTGCCCAAAGCACAGCCAGATCCAGGCTGTGGCCTCACACCCTCAGCCCTGCATCTTGTTTTAGGGCAAAAGCACAAATCTCGGTGCTCCCACACCCACCTGTGTGCCCGAAACAGGGCGGTGCAGGGTGATTCCATCAGGGGGGTCTGCAGGGAATCACCCCAGCTCTGGGTGAGGTGGGCTCCCCTCTGTGGCCAGGCAGCTTCTCCATGCCATGCCCAGCACCCATTTATTGGGGGAAAAACCCCAAGAACTGGGGCTCCCTTTGCATTCCTGCAGCACGTGGCAAACCACAGCGGGCAGTCACCAAACCCCATCTCCCCTGGGGGTGGCTGGAGAAAGGAGTTTATCAATCAAACATCACCCCCCCTGAAAAAAAAAAACCCAAAATACAATTATTACAGCTGTCCTCAGGCTGGCAACCTGCACATCTCCAGGATTTTGGCCAATTTTGGGTGTTGGCAGCAGAGGCAGCACCTTCTGATGGGTTTTGTGTGGTGTCCTGGTGCTGGGCAGAGGGGGAGAGGAGCTGCAGCCTCTGGAATGCAGCTGGCACTGGGAGCAGTGGCCAAACCCTCAGGAAGTTGCTTGAGGATGAATGAAATTGCCAAAAAAGATGTTCTGAGCAATACTGGAATCTTAAATTTTATCCGTGCTGCGGGTTAATAGATATAAAAAATCAAATGGAAAAGATTTCTGGTGGAATTTGGGGACTTTTCTGATCAGCCACCCAGCTGATTCCCACCCTCATTTGCAGGCAGCTGGCTGGTATTTTAAAGCAGATTTTTTTTAATGCTAAATACTGAAATACCATGATTATCTCATAAAAAGCTGGGAAGATGGTTCTTAAAACTTTTCACCAACTCCACCTCCTCCGCTCCCCATCTCCAGTTACTGCAGGACCCTAAATTTAGCTCTGCAGTCTGGATGGAAAGACTTGAGCATGAGTTTCTTTTATTTAATTATTTCTTTATTTCAGTTATTATTGTTTTCCCCCCCTCCACCACTCTGATGAGTTCAACCCTCCCCATTGCCTGCCAGGGAACTTGAAATGAAATAAAATTTAAAACATTCCCCACGTGCGAAGCACGGGAGGGAAAAATCCTCTTGGCTTAAATAGGAGGGGATGGATGGGAAGGAGGCTGAGGAGGAATTCCTGATCCTGTTCAGCCCCAAAAAGCTTCAGGACACAGGCAGATGTCACAGCCCTGGGTGCTGGGAGCTTGGCCACTGTAATTTGAGCAGCACCAGGGATTTTGGGTGTTCTAACACAGCTTCATTAACGGGTAGGTGCATGCATATTAATGTCTACTCATTAGCTGCTGGAGCAAAGCATCTGCAACAAAATGCTGCATTCTGAGCCTTTAAGTAAGCAAAAAAAAAAAAAAAAATTAAAAAAGAAAAAAAAATTCATTTCTGCAAAATCCATCTGATAATGAATTTTATTTTTCTGTTCTGCGCTTGAAACCAGTGAGGAATTTTTTGTCTAATTTGCTGCCAAAGCAGCATTTGAAAGAACAGGCACAGCATTTTGTTCCTGCTAATGCCAGCATTAAACTGTGAGTGCTTTGGAGCTCTTGTGTTGGTTTTTTTTCTCTCTTTAGTGCCGTAAGAGTATTTGTCTATGAATGGCTATCTATATAAGGCAGGTTAGTGAGCTAGATCCTCAACAGTATTTCATTTTCTTGCTTACAGGGCTAACTAAAAAGCAAGTTTTTTCAATGCTGCAGTGACTGAAGAAGCAGTTCACTCCCATGTAACCATGAAAAGAGGGCCACAGAGCATTTTGCACCATGCATTGATTTTTTTTGATTATTTTCCAAATTAGCACCATATCTCACTAAGGAACCTTGAACCACACAACCGAGATCTTCCTTTGCATGCAATTGTAGATGCATTTCATGAATAGTTTGAAACCCTTGTCAATGCATATATATCTTATTTTCTTTTATTTTTTGGAAAGAAAAAAAAGAAAAAAAAAAACAACAACTCTTTGTGTATGTGATCTGAAGCATGTAACCCTAAGATGTTGCATTCTAAAAATGACAAATAAAGGCCTTTCCCAAATATTTTGGTGTTCTGCAGCCTGTTTAATATGTTCTTGCCAAGACATCATTCGGACCAAAAATAATAATTGAGCTAATTTTAATGCTAATAATTGTGGGAAATGTGAACATTTCGCTCCCATAGGAAGCACCCAGGTCAAGGCAGAGTGTTGCAGATTTTTGCACGCATAGCACTGAACCGAGCTTATTTTAACCTTGCAGGCAATAAAAGCGAAAATGGAGGAACTTAGGCCTTTGATACCAGTGTTGGAAGAGTACAAAGCCGATGCCAAATTGGTATTGCAGTTTAAAGAGGAGGTCCAGAATCTGACGTCAGTTCTAAACGAACTCCAGGAGGAGATTGGCGCCTATGACTACGAAGAGCTTCAGAACAGAGTGTCAAATCTTGAAGAAAGGCTTCGTGCATGCATGCAAAAATTAGGTAGGCTCAGAACCACCACGGTGGCTCCAAGGCCACCGGCGCCAACGCACGCATCCCGGCCGGAGGCAGAGATGCCCCGCTGGACATCTGGTGCCGTGCCCGGCCGCGAGGGATGAGCTCCACGCAGCCAGGGGCCATCCTGCCAAGGGTTATGCCACCAGGAACATTCCTCCTGGGAGTAGTCCTGCCCAGGATTACTGGCAGGAGCAATGCTGCTCGTGGTGTGAGCGCTTCAGGATGCTCCTCTCCTCTCCTCTCCCCGCGGAGCGGAGCGGGCGTGTGGGCGGCGCTTGCATAAGTGGCAGCTCACGCTTATGCAAAGCCAACACTTGCACCCCTTTTGCTTCTGCATCCCTGGACCTGGTCCGTCAGCAAAGGGCTCTGCTCGTGGTGGGGGGTGTGGGGCTGTGCCTCGGTTTCCCTCGGTTTCCTTTCTTTGTTTTTGCATCTTGCCAATCCCCCCGGAGCAGAGCATGAGGAGCTGGGCCGCGGTGTGGTCCTGCCCCTGCGCGGGATGTGAATCCTCCCTCTCCCATCCCCTGAGGGAGCAGGGAGCCATTTCCACCAGGCTGCTGCTAAACCACCAGGGACTCGACCTCATCCAGAGGGTTGGAATTGACTGAAACTCCTGGGGCTGTTGTGGGGAGTCTCAGCTGCCACCAAACCCAAGGCGTGGCCCCAAACACAGGGGGAAGGAGGAAAGGGCACTGCCTCCCACAGCTGCAAGGACTCTCTGCACCATTTGTTGGGCCAGCTCTGACTTGATTTAATTTCTCCTTCCATTATTGACTTTCTTGCCACGCCATTTAGATAATCCAAACACATTAACTGCTCTGCAGTCTATTTTGGTAGCACATACGAAATTACACTCTCAGGTAACTTCACGGAAGATCAGATCTCTTCTGAGCACTCGATATCCTTGGCAAGGTAACGCTTTGTTTCTCTCTTGGCTCTGCTGCTGGGGTTGATTTTGCTTGTTTCTAGATGCCTCCACACTGTGAGCAGCCACCTCCCCTCCATTCCCTCTGCATTTCCATCCTCTGGTTCCTTGGACGCCCCTTGCAGGTTCCATCTCACCCAGAGAGTAAAATTCCCATTTAAACGTGGATGCTCAGAGTATTTGAACAAGTCAGGCACCGAGGTACCCTTGGGACAGGTAAAAACCCCCTGGCCAAGAGAGATCGGAGTTTAATTTCTCATTAATTAATGAGTGCTGGTGGCCCGGGCTTGGTTTGAGAGCAGGACAGGCTGGGGCTTTCTGCCCCTTTCCCCCGTGATGGCCACAGGGAGGGCAGCAGGGTTGGGCAAGGAGGGAAACTCTCACCTTGCCCTCACCCTCTTGAACTTCCCCCTGAAAGCCTCATGGGGACATGGAGTCCCCAATTCCTGGAGCTCTGTCAGGTGGGCACAGTGCAGTGGGAAGATAAGGAAGGATGAACAGATAAGAAAGGAGAGCAGGCCCAGGAGGGTGGGGTGGACCAAGGGCACACAGAGGCCTCCTGGCAGATGGATCCTCTCATCCCTGCCCTGCTGAAGGCAGAGGAGAAGATGCCCAAGGAGGGGTCCCCTTGCTGCACCCAGAGCCTTCAGCCCATCCCTTGAAGATGAGGAGGAGCTGTGGGTCACAGGGAGAGGAAGCAGCAGCAGGAGCAGGGATTTGAGATTTCAACCTTGGGGACAGTTCTTTCAACAAAGCCATTCCAGCCAGGGAAGCTGGGACAATCCTCCCACTGACCCTAGGCAGGCTTTAAGGAGTAGCTCCCAAACCATTCAGGGCTCCAAAAAATTAGAATCTGCTCTTGGACCATTAACCCTTTCTGCACATCCCATCCCTTCACACTCAGGTCCAGCTGGGACCAGCAGCCCAGGTAAGAAGGAGGCAGGCAGGGATGCTGAGCTCTTGCAGGTAACCTTGTCTAGGAACTTTTGGCAGTTTTTAAAAATCTTTTTGAGTCTTTAGCTGGGCTTTTTGGCTTCTTCCGGCCCTTGCTCTCTCTCTGGGGTCAGGGCAGCTCTTTTGCAGCAGCCCTGGCTGCTCACAGAGATGGGTTCTGTGCCTCCCAGAGGCTCATCCCAGAGGATTTGCTGCTCACTCAGGAAGCTGATTTATTTGGTCACTTAAAAGAAAGAGCACGGATTGAATTTCCAATGCTGTTTATCTCTCTGGTGTGTAAACCACTGGAAATGGTTGCTAATTGAGTTAAATTCAGATAACAGCCTTACAAATGCTTTGCTGCCACACAATGAGGCCCTGATTGCCGAGGATTTCACTTTGCCGCAGGTTTTCTGCTCCGTTGGGCTCGCTGATGTCTCAAGGAGAGGGTTTTAGCTGGGAGAAAGGTTTTTCTGCCGCTCTCCTGGAGTTTGTGCACCCCAAACAGGGTCAGGGAGCTGCTGCAACAAGCACAGGCCAAGGGGAGCGGAGGGATGTGCCACACTCACACCCACTTCACCTCTCCCAGGGAGCTCTGAGCCTTGGCAGGGCCTTTTCCTTAGCCAAGGTCCTGTTTTGCATTTTGGGTTTCCTAAGCATTATTGATGGATCAATAGTGAAAACACTCCCTGACCCTGGCATGTGTGTGGAGGGGGGGAAGAGAAATCAATAATGGCAGCTTCAATCTGTGTTTCTGTTTACACTCCTAAAGATCCCTATTTATACAGGGATTTTAGCCTTTGCATTAATGTTCCTAAGAGGAGGTGCAGGGCTTGGCACTCCTTGGATCTAGGGGGAATTTAACTCAGGCAGGGCAAGAGTTCCTTGGGAAAAATCCTGGTGCAGGGATGGGCATGGAGCCATCCCTGATGGTTTGGGATGGGGATGGAGCCATCCCTGATGGTTTGGGATGGGGATGGAGCCATCCCTGATGGTTTGGGATGGGGATGGAGCCATCCCTGATGGTTTGGGATGGGGATGGAGCCTGATGGTTTTGGGATCAGGATGGGGCCCCATTCCTGATGGTTTGGGATGGAGATGGAGCCATCCCTGACGATTTTGGGATGGGGTGCTCCCAGCCAGGCAACAGAGGCAAGATCCAAGCCCAGCTGAGCTGCCACAGCCCCATCCCTGCCTGGAGGGCTGGGATGGGGATTGGGATCAATCCTTGGCTTCCTGGGAAGATGGAGCAGGATGCTGGCTGTAGCAGCAGCCCAGAAGGAGCTGGTGCCTGTGCGTTGGTGGAGGAGCTGCTGGGAGCTGCCAGGCAGGACTTGTGGGCAGCATCCAGAGCTGGAGAGGAGGTGGTGGCACCCTGGGAGGAAGGGAGGGCTGGTCCCGCCCGCTCCTGCTGGAAAATTCCTTGTGCAGCTGAAGCGGGGATGCATCTCATGGCAGAACAGAGGGACACTTGGGGAAAGGCTGATTTGTGGCCAGGAGAAAGGAGCTGAATAGCTCTGGGTGAAGAGGAGCGAAAGCAGCTCCTCTGTGAGGCCCTAAATCTGCTCCTCACAGGTTTCCCTGTCCTGGACCCCTGGGTGAGCAGCAGGATGAGCTTTTCTGTGGCACAGCTGTCCCTGAGTGACCTGGAATTCCCATAGAACCCCACCTGACAGGAGGGGGGCTCTGCAGAAGGCTCAGCTGCTGATATTGCAGGTGTGCTGTGCATCTCCTCAGGTGGGTGAGGATCCCAGGGGCTGGAGCTGTCCGTGCCTGGGTGGCAAAGCTCACTCAGGACCTTCAAAATCCGTGTTGAATTCCCTCCAGCAGCCTGGGATGGGTTTACAGCAGGAGAGAGAAGAGCCCTCCTGCATTGCTGAGGCTGTGTGTGCCTCTAGCTAAACAACGTGTAGGAGATGTTGCAAACAACACTGGTTTACCTTTATCAGCTGCTGCTGCTTTTTTTTAACTGGTGTTTTTTTGTTTTTGTTTTGTTTTGTTTTTTAATCAATGAGCTTTTACAGCACGCTCCTCTCCAGGGAAATGGGAGGAGGAGATAAAGTGACAGCAATGTAGGGCTGTGATAATGGAAGGCAGATCTGGGATTAGGGGAAGGCTGGACCCTTGCAAGTCATTAAAATTTGGTTTTTTTAACCCATTGCATCTCTTTGCTCTCCCTCTGAGCTGAGAGGCTTGGAGTGCAGCAGGCAGGAGGGCAAATTCCTGTGCCTGGTGTCTCAGCAAAGCTCTGCTTTTTGGGGGCACCTCTCTTGATCTGCCTGGGTCTGGAGGCTGTGGGGACACTGCTGGTGCCCTTGGTGCACATCAGGAATTTCTCCCTCTGTTCTCTGCCCTGGGCTAAGGGGATCCCTTTGGCTGAGGCAGGTGCGTGTGTCTGATCAGGAATTACAATGCAGGTGAGAACAGGCCAAGGAGAGAGGCAGCTGAGAGGGATTGCAGAGTTCTGGAGGTGCTCAGGGTGTAAATTCTGTGATTCCACGAAGGTCAGGTTGGACAGCAACCTGATCTGGTTGAAGACATCCCTGCTCATTGCAGGGGGCTGGACTAAACAACCTTTAATGGTCCTTAACAACAAACCATCCTAGGGTTTTAATTTGGAGCAGGATGACCTTGTCCTGAGCTGGCAGAGCTCTCCCTGTGCTCCAGCAGCACCTGCAGGGGCTCCCACCTGCAGCCCAGCCCTGGGCCCTGCTGAGCAGGCACTGCCTGCAGTGCAGCCCCAGCACAGCACCCAGGGCAGCTTCTCCACCCCACGTCCAAAAGGAGAACTCAGGAAACACCTCCTGAACTCCAGGTGCTGGCTGTGCCCCACTGCCTCTGCCCTGGATGGGGTTTTAAATGGGCTCTGGCTGGGTTTTAAATGGGCTCTGGGGTTTTAAATGAGCTCTGGGGTTTTAAATGTGCTCTCCTTGCCCAACAGGACATCCCCCAGCAGCTCAGTCCCTCCCAAGGCATCTCCACCTCCTCCCCTGTCCCTCCTCACTGCACTCACGTTAAATTTTGGTGGGGCAGGGAAGCAGAGTGGCAGCTCTGCTGAAACTTGGGGATATTGTTGGGAAAAGGAGATGAGATGTGGTGGCTGCACCTGCCATGCTGGGGCTGCAGCATTCCAGATCCATGGACAGCCCCAGAGAGGGGTGGGACAGAGCCAGGACTGGGAAATGAGCAGGAGCAGAGGTGCTGCTGCTTCCCCTCATATTTAGGGCTTGGAAACCCAGCAAGGAGCTGAACTGGCTCCCTGAATTCAGCAGATTTGGAGCTCCTGGGTGTGCCCCAGACCTGGCTCACAGTGCCCTGTGATCCCTGTGCTGGTGAGGCTGAGCTGGGCAGGACCCTCAGGATGCTCTCACCTTCATCCTGCTGTGCTGGGGCTCCTGTCCCAGAGCTGGCTGGAGATCCAAACAGTGTGTGTGATCCTCCTCAGTGTGTGTGTGATCCTCCTGTGTGTGTGTGTGATCCTCCTGAGTGTGTGTGTGATCCTCCTGAGTGTGTGTGTGTGATCCTCCTGTGTGTGTGTGTGTGATCCTCCTGTGTGTGTGTGTGATCCTCCTGAGTGTGTGTGATCCTCCTGAGTGTGTGTGTGATCCTCCTGAATGTGTGTGTGTGATCCTCCTGAGTGTGTGTGATCCTCCTGAGTGTGTGTGATCCTATTGAATGTGTGTGTGATCCTCCTCAGTGTGTGTGTGATCCTCCTGAGTGTGTGTGTGATCCTATTGAATGTGTGTGATCCTCCTGAGTGTGTGTGATCCTCCTGAATGTGTGTGTGTGATCCTCCTGAGTGTGTGTGTGATCCTATTGAATGTGTGTGTAATCCTCCTGAGTGTGTGTGTGTGATCCTCCTGAGTGTGTGTGTGATCCTCCTGAGTGTGTGTGTGTGATCCTCCTCAGTGTGTGTGTGATCCTCCTCAGTGTGTGTGTGATCCTCTGAGTGTGTGTGTGATCCTCCTGAGTGTGTGTGATCCTCCTGAATGTGTGTGTGATCCTCTGAGTGTGTGTGATCCTCCTCAGTGTCTGTGTGATCTTCCTGAGTGTGTGTGTGATCCTCCTCAGTGTGTGTGTGTGTGATCCTCTGAGTGTGTGTGATCCTCTGAGTGTGTGTGTGATCTTCATGAGTGTGTGTGTGATCCTCCTGAAAGTGTGTGTGATCCTATTGAATGTGTGTGATCCTCCTGAGTGTGTGTGTGATCCTCCTGAGTGTGTGTGTGTGTGTGTGATCCTCCTGAGTGTGTGATCCTCCTGTGTGTCTGATCCTCCTGAGTGTGCAACATGAGATGCAACGAGGGGCAAGCTGGGGTTGCTGTCCCAGAGCTGCCTGGAGCATCCACCGGTGTGTGTGGATCCTCCTGAGTGTGCAACGCGAGGGAAAGCAGCCGGTAAATGATCCCTGCAGGGAGGAGATTTATATCGAGGGCCATTTTCCACCTTCCTCTTTTCTCTCCTCTGCTTAACCCGTACCAGTCGCAGGTTTCCAGCAGGGCTGGAATAGCCACGGCTGCCTTTTCACCTGGATCAGAGCAGCTCCTCCCTGCCCCTGCCTGCTGCTCTCATTCTCCATTCCGGGCCACTCGCAGCTCCTTTTCTCGGGGACAGCCAGAAGGGCAATTGTCATTAAGAGGTGCGAAGCAAACAAAAGCATCCGACACTTGTTCCTGAGCCGATTCCCTGCGATGAAACCGAGCTTAGCAGGGCACAGAGGAGCGGGTGGGGTGGTGCCGGTGCCCCTCGGGGGCTGTCGTGGTGCTCACCAGCCTTCCCCTCTTTTCCAGCCTGTGGGAAGCTGACGGGAATAAGTGACCCGATCACAATTAAAACCTCGGGGTCCCGCTTTGGATCGTGGATGACGGATCCTCTGGCTCCTGAGGGGGAGAACAAGGTAAGAGTGTGTGACAGCATCACCCGTGTGCCTGAGGACAGCGAATATTCACCACTGGGAAAAGCAGGGAATGTCCTCATCCATCCCACCGGGCTCTGCTGGCAGCAGGAGGGGCTGAGCATCCCCCAGGGAGGGAGGATGAGGAGAAGTTGAGCAGCCCCTGCACTGCTCCCTTTCCTGGCTGAAACTCCATGGGCTCAGAATTGTCACCATGAGGTCTATGTGGCGAAAAAAGCAACTGTTGGGTTTCTAATCTGTGTTTGGCAGCCAGGAGGGAGCTGGGGCTGAGCAGAGGGACCCGTGCTCCTGGTCCCTGCTGCTCTTCTGCTGCCAGCACCTCTGATAATGTCATCTGCCTGCATTTGCCCTCCATCCTCCACCTTCATTGCTGTGAGGAATTAACTGACTGCAGCCAGAGAGAGAGATTTGTTTTGCTTTGTTTTGGTCTTTTATTTTTTTCCATTCAGACCATTCAATTTTGATCCCAAGGAGGTAGGAGGCCAATAACTGGCTGAAAATCAATCCCAGCTCCCCGTGACTGATGGAATGGAAAATATCTCGAGTGTTTGCCGAGGATTTGCAGGCAGCAAAACAAAACAAGAAGCAGAAAGCTTGGCTGCCTGTAATTCCCTCCTGCATGCAGCATCCTTCAAAGGATAAAGGCACCAGCAAGGGCGGGATCAGGGCACCTATTTTGGGATCTGTGCCCTGGCATCAGCTCTGTAGCTGTGAGAGGACAAGGGATGCTCTGGAGAAGTCAGCCCTGGGTGGTTGCTTTGAAGGTGACTTGAGTTGTCAGGCCCTTTCCCTCCAGCAGCCAACTGGTTGGCACTAGTTCCCCAATTCAACACCTCCATATTTTACAGTTATTAAGCAAAATTTCCCCTCCGGCCCAAATAAAACCCTGCTTAGAGGTGAGATGGGAAGGTTTCACCCCCATCACGTCCCATTTTGCTCAAGAGAGGGGACAGAATTGTCCCCTTCAGGCCGTGCTTGCTGCTTCCCTTGGCACTAAAACAATTTTCAGCTGAAGCTGGTGGTTCAGATGCTAAAGATTTTCCCGTGTCTTCAGAGGGTTTTGTCTCAAACCGCTATTTTTTGGTATTTTTTTTTTAAGCCATGCCTTTTTCTGCAGCGTATTTTTGTTGTACAAGCAGGCTGCAAACCGGAGCTGGAGCTTCCCAGGCCTCTCTGTGTATTTAATATATAAAACCTGCTGGGAATTTTATTAGGAACACACCATTAAGTGAACTCCACTGGCTGCTCAGCAGAGTGGGAAGGTGAGCATGGGATGGGCAGTTTATCATCCCCAGCTCCTGTCCCTGAGCCCCACGAGGGGTTTGGTGTTCCTGTGATCATTTGTTCATGTCACAAAACCACGGAACACAGCTGGGGGAGATTTGTGAGTGCTGTGGGAGCAGCAGGTGGATGCTGAGAGCTGGGATGGCTGTGTGGGGGCAGGAGGAGGTTGCTCAGAGCCAGCTGCCGTGATGGGACATTGTTCATCCATCAATCCCTGCTTTTCCAGGGCTTGGAATGCTCTTGGGTCCTGCAGCCCCTGCATGGTGACACAGGGCTCTGCTGAGCTTTAAAAACTGAGCACAACAACACATTTGCATGTTGAATTTTTAATACCAGATAATGAAATGGAAGCAGCAAAGAGAGAGTTACGTTTTGGATATTTTTTCCCCTATAATTTCCCAATCTGGTTCAGCTGAAGTTTCATTTCCAGCTCTGGCTGTTCTCTGGTGCCTTTGCAGCCACCCCCAAGCCCAGCAAGGTTTGGGGCTGAGGGTCAGAACCATTTGCCACACTCTGAGCCATTTCCCCACCTCTGCAGCTTTCCAGGGAGGCAATGACAGAAGGCTGAAATTCCCTCCAAAGTTTTTGGAGACCCCAGCTGACTTCCCAAAGGCAGCAGCCAAATGTTGGGCTGCCCTTCTCAAAGACTGATGATCACACTCCAGACACAGAGCTGTCAGATTTTGCAAGGGGTTTGCAGAAGAAATCTGCACGACATCACCCAAATCTGCAGCCTTAAAGGCTTCCCTCTTGCTAAATTTACCTTTTCTCCTTCCTAAATTTACCTTTTCTCCTTCCTAAATTTACCTTTTCTCCTTCCTAAATGGCTCTTACAGAAAGCAGTTCTCTCATTTTCAGGCAGCAACTGCATCCAGAATGTCAGTGGCTGGCTGGATATTTCTTGTGGATATTAACTGCACAGCTTGGTCATTTGCCTCAGAATTGGTTTCATATAACAAAAGCTTTTTTTTTTTTTAAGGAGTCTAGACAGTGTCCCCAGTGAACTGGCACTTAAATGATGATCTAAAATCTCTCCCCAATCTACCCAGAGCAAGATTTAGATGTCTTTGTCTCTTATATTTCAGCAGCCTCGCTTTAAGCTTTTGATGCAGCAGTGTATGATTTTTAAACCAATATGGACTTTTTGCCTGAATTTGCCTGACAATGAGTGATTGCATCCCTCGCTCCCGCATTCCAAATTAATGGAGCTGTGCACAGCAGCTGCTGTAATTTACTGAGTGTTACCGCGGGAAGCAAAAGCAGCAGCAGCAGCACTGAAAATGCTGGGTTTAGCCAGGGAAAAGCTGCTAATTGCCCTCGGGAAGGGAGGGTGGTGCCAGCCACCAGCGTTCCCAGGGGAGCGCTTAAGCCAAGGGGATATCAGGTTATCCCCCAGGGAAAGCTTTGCTGCTAGGTTGATTTCATGACTGATTTGGGGCTCCAGAAATTGGGGTTATTTCTGGATGTAGGTGACAGATGTTGGCTGGATTCAAGGCCAGATTTGGAGCAGCCTGCTCTGGTGGAAAGCGTCCTTGGCAGGGCTGAGTTCTAATCTCCATTCCAAACCATTTTATGACGATTCCACGACTCCTGGCTGTGGATTTCTCTCTGTTGCAGTGCAATGTCATGGTTTGCCTCAGATGCCCCGGGTTCCTCCCTGATAATTCCCTGCCAGGTGTGTCAGTCTCCTCTCCTTTCCCCTCCCAGCACTGTCTGTCAGTCCTGGCATTCCAGAGGGGCATCGAGTGATTGGCAGAATTCAAAGGATGCCTTACACCCCTGCAGGGACATTGGGCCATCCAGGTGTCCTTTGTCCCTTGAGACTTCCCCCTCCCCATGCGTGGTTTGTGGTCCCCAGTGTTCCTTCCCTGCCCCTCTCCCCGGGGTTAAAGGAGCAGCAACCCCAGGCTCAGGGAGTTCTGTTGGAGCTGGTGCTGCATTCAGAGGCCTGAGGGCCAGAATAAAGCTCTGGATCCAAACCCTGCATCAGAACCGACTCCTTTCCTTCACCATCACCTTAAAGCTTCTCCACAGAGGGAAACCTGAGGAGCAGCCCCTGGTATGGGGGGAAGCTCCATCCCAGCACCACCAGAGCTCCTGCAGGCCTGGACTTGTCTGCAGTGCCCAGCTGCAGCACCCAGGCAGCCAAAAGTGTCTGTGGGGTGAAACACCACACACCCAGGCAGCCCAAAGTGTCTGTGGGGTGAAACACCACACACCCAGGCAGCCAAAAGGGAAACACCACACACCCAGCAGCCCAAAGTGTCTGTGGGGTGAAACACCACACACCCAGCCAGCCAAAAGTGTCTGTGGGTGAAACACCACACACCCAGCCAGCCAAAAGTGTCTGTGGGGTGAAACACCACACACCCAGCCAGCCTAAAGTGTCTGTGGGGTGAAACACCACACACCCAGCCAGCCAAAAGGGAAACACCACACACCCAGGCAGCCAAAAGTGTCTGTGGGGTGAAACACCACACACCCAGGCAGCCAAAAGTGTCTGTGGGGTGAAACACCACACACCCAGGCAGCCAAAAGTGTCTGTGGGGTGAAACACCACAGTGCCACTATTTGGTGAAGCAGCAAGGGCCAGACAAGCTCAGGCACGTCCCATCCAGCAATATTGGTGTTATTCCAATACTCTCCTTAACCCCCTGCGTTTCCCTCGTGCAGGTTTGGTACATGGACAGCTACCACAACAACCGCTTCGTCCGCGAGTACAAATCCATGGCGGACTTCATGAACACCGACAACTTCACCTCCCACCGCCTGCCCCACCCCTGGTCGGGCACGGGCCAGGTGGTCTACAACGGCTCCATCTACTTCAACAAATACCAAAGCCACATCATCATCAGGTTCGACTTGAAGACGGAGACCATCCTCAAGACGCGCAGCCTGGACTACGCCGGCTACAACAACATGTACCACTACGCCTGGGGCGGCCACTCCGACATCGACCTCATGGTGGACGAGAACGGGCTCTGGGCCGTCTACGCCACCAACCAGAACGCCGGCAACATCGTCATCAGCAAGTTGGACCCCAACACCCTGCAGAGCCTGCAGACCTGGAACACCAGCTACCCGAAACGCAGCGCCGGCGAGGCCTTCATCATCTGCGGCACGCTCTACGTCACCAACGGCTACTCGGGAGGCACCAAGGTGCACTACGCCTACCAGACCAACGCCTCCACCTACGAGTACATCGACATCCCCTTCCAGAACAAGTACTCCCACATCTCCATGTTGGACTACAACCCCAAGGATCGGGCTCTCTACGCCTGGAACAACGGGCATCAAATCCTGTACAACGTCACCCTCTTCCACGTCATCCGCTCCGACGAGTTGTAGCCCGGCCTTGGTGGGAAACTGGGTTTGGGGTGGGGGGAAGAATAAATAAATAAATTAAAGTGAAAATTTAAAAAAAAATAATAATAATGATAAAAAGGAAAAAAAAGGGAGAAACTAATTTAAAAAAAAAATGCTATTAAGGGAACATACTTTAAATAAGTAAACATATAAACAGCTGCCAAAATTAAGACCAACATCATGGAGGATTATTCAGCGTAAGCCTGACAGATCAGCATTACCTCTACATTTCTAGAAGTCTGGCCCTGTGTTATAGACTCACGAGTAACCGTGTACTTGCAGCTGGAACTGCACTCAGAGAACCACTTCAGTTTGGGGTTTTGTTTTGTTTCTGTTCTGATAGCAAACCTAGAGAACATCCTCAAGCAGTAAGGCAATGACTGTTGGAAGTTCACCCTCGGGAGCCTCGCTCTCCTCCGTGTGTGGCTTGCATGGACATTCCCCCGGCGTCACGGGCAGCTGTGATGGATGTGTGGAAAGGAAAAGCAGGAGAAGCTGACCCGTGAGGAGCTCTGGCTGTCTCAACAAGACCTATCACAGGTTAGTTTTCTTTGCCTTCCATTGCAGCTACTGTCTCTCTCAACTGTGTTCTTGTCACTTAGATTAACTGTGCTGAGACCCGAAGTAGCTCATGGATCTGTGTCTTAGTAACTTATTAAACACGATGGTTTAAGTATGTATTATGAACAAGTTGTTGTACCCATATTGTTTGAACTTATGTATTCAGCAACTATATTGTATAATGTATGTCTGTTATTTACCAGAGGTGGCAAAACTTTGTATGTCCAGTTTATGCAATGAATGTTGTAAATGCAATGATGTAGTTTGGATTTAATAAATGATGGTTTTTTCGTTTCTAAAAAGGCAAAAAAAAAAAAAAGGTCAGTGTTCACCCTTATACACAGGTAACCAATTTCATGTTGATAATTACAGGAATATTCTCTTACTGTTATCTATCTACATAGCATTATGGTGGTTGGAAATCGCTTCCGTGGAGATTCTGTGGCAGCAGATTCCCATAGGAAGCTTTGTTTATGGAAGTGTGAAGGTAATAAATTTTTTTTTTAAGAGGAAAAATTTGTACTATCCACAGTTATCTAAGGAACAATAAAACTATTAGGAGACTTCCCTGCTTTGTTTGGTGTCTTCTCTGTGCGAGTGAGCCAGTGCAGGGGAGGGAGAACTGGAATTTTTGGGGGTAAATGCTGAGCAGCCATCCTGAGTTTCCTTCCAGGGAATATTTCCTGATGTGTAGCTGGGGCTGGGAGCTGGGACGGTGGAGGGCTGGCTCTCTGCTCTGTAGGGATTCCCTTCCCATTTTCATCTGGAGCAGGCACTGCTTCAAGGACATAAAATCCTCTGGCTGCTCCTGCTGTGGGCAGGGTCCGGCCACCCCCTCAGGGACTGACGGTGTCTGGTGTTGGTGCCACAACAGGAGGAAATCTCATCATCTGCCACCTTTATTGGAGCTGCAGACACTGCTTGGGACCCCTGAGAGCAACTGGATCCCACTTCTTCTTGGCTTCTTGGAGTGCTCCCCACCCTGAGTCTGCTACAGGTAAAAATCTGCTTTTTTTAACTTGTTCTAAAGAGCGACTGTCACTGTCACACTCAGCCCTCCTGGTTCTGCCAAAGCAGAGCCCTCACGGGGTACAGGATGCTCTTCTCCCTCTGGTGTGAGATTTGGGGTCTCATCTCTCTTTGCTGTGAGATTTGGGGTCCCATCTCTCTCTGTGTGAGATCTGGGGTCCCATCTCTCTCTGGTATGATATTTGAGGTCCCATTTCTCTCTCGGTGATATTTGGGGTCCCATCTCTCTCTGGTGTGAGGTTTGGGGTCTCATCTCTCTCTCTCTTTGAGATTTGAGGTCCCATCTCTCTCTGCTGTGAGATGTGGGGTCCCATCTCTCCCCTGCACCTCCAGAACAGCAATATTTAGCAATTCCCACTCCAGCCAGCTCCAGGTGAAGGGCCAGCACCTTCCCCACCCATCCAGGGTGATCCTGAGCGGGATCTCGAGGGCAGCTGGGGCATGGTCCCTGTGCAAGCTGCAAAGAGCTCCCTGGGGTGCCTTTAGCTCTTCCTTGCCTCTTCCCCCACAGATTGGCCACGTTTAGCACCACCAGGAATGCCAATTTTCCAGCCAAGTGGCCCAGTGAGGCTCAGCCTGTGGGCTCAGCAGATGGATGGTTCAGGGCCCTGGGAAGGAGCAGGGATTACCAAGGTCAGGAAATTGAGTATCAGCAATCGGTGTTTGCTGCAAGCTGCACATCCAGATTCCAGCCTCTCAGCCTTTGCAGCAGTTTCCTGCTGGGCTCTTCAACAGGAGGAGGGAAAAGGGAAAAACCAAAGCAGTGTAGTGTGGTTTCTCAGAGCTGGATTAAACCACAGGCACCAAGCAATCCTCCCCGTGAAGGTGTTCCAGGCAGTTCCACGGGGCTGAGCCTGCCCTGTGCCAGCTCTGCTGCTCTCACTGAAGCCTTGGCTGGATGCAGAATGGGGACAGCTCTCTGAGGACTCATTCCTCTGCTGCACTCTGTAATTCCAGCTCTCTGGGCTGCCAGCTCTGTGGAGAACTTCGCTGTTTAGCAGTGCTTTTCCCTCCAAGAAGCTCAAAAAGGGGGGCTGGAGACCCATGGTGTAATTGGCAGCAGTATTGATCCTCGATGTGCAGGAGAAATCTGTTAAGCCAAAAAGCAGGAGGGCACCTGCAGTCATTTCTCTTTAATTAATGTATTTCTGCAGTGCAAACTCACTGAAGGGCAGCACACTGCTCTTGTAAGGGCTAGAGCTGGATCCAGAGGTGCTGCAATCGATGGGACAGAGGCTAGGGATGGCACCAGGGCTGGGCTTTGCACTGGGACTGATCCTGCCCAGCTCCCCGAGGGCTTTAGGATGGAAAATTGGGAGGGAATCCTGGCTGTACCCCGTGCTGGATTGCTTTGTGGTGTGGCTGATTGTCCCAGCAGCCAGGCTTTGTGTCCTCCATCCATCCATCCATCCATCCATCCATCCATCCATCCATCCATCCATCCATCCATCCATCCATCCATCCACCCAGGGGGTGGTTTCTCTCCAAGACCCCAAATCTCACAGCAGAGAGAGATGGGACCCCAAATCTCACACAGAGGGAGATGGACCCTAAACCTTACAGCAGAGAGAGATGAGACCCCAAACCACAAAGCAGAGAGAGATGGGACCCCAAACCTCACACCAGAGGGAAATGGGACCCCAAACCTCACACTGGAGAAAGATGGGACCCCAAACCTCGCACCAGAGAGAGATGGGACCCCAAACCTCACACCAGAGGGAAATGGGACCCCAAACCTCACACAGAGGGAGATGGGACCCCAAACCTTACAGCAGAGAGAGATGGGACCCCAGACCTTACACCAGAGGGAAATGGGACATCACACCTTACAGCAAAACCTCTGCAGGTGTTGGCAGAGTTTGTCCCAGGTGTTGTGTCCAGTTTTGGGGAGAGGTTTCAAGCAGAGCACAGCACACAGCAGGGCACCACTGAAACCTGCCCAGCCCACCCTGGCACACCAACACCACCCTGTGCCAGGTGCCCTGCAGTCAGCGTGGTCACTAGACAGGAGTTGAGGACAAAAGAACATGCCTGCTTCAAGACATCGATCTGCAAAAATAAATCGAATTACAGAAAGGCAAAATAATGCTGCTTGCTTTAGGACACAGCTACATTTAGATTCTAATTTTCCAAGTGCAATTCATTTAAGACAAAGGCTCCAGAGCACAAAATGTCCTTGAAGGCAGCAGAGCAGGAGCAGCTCCTGTGTAACACGTACCCAAAGTTAATGAGATGAGGGAAGTGCTCTGAGGGGTGTACCTTTGTCCTATTTGCCTGTAGTGCAATATTCTATAAATGGATGCCATATGGCCCTACACTTAATGGTATGGATCAGATTGGAAGTGGATGAGCCACTCAAAGACAAGAACGTCCCAGAGGATTGCTTTCTATAGCCTATGACTTCATTATTTGATGCACGAGGCTTGTTGGTCCAAATTTAGTGCTGGGAGTCAGTGAGCTGCTTCAGAGGAACATCTGACCATGGTTCTGTGTGTGTTTGTGTTCATTTTTGCCAAGGTATTCCTTGGGAAGCCCTGCTCCAGGCATTGGGGAGGGCTTGGTGCACAACCCAAGCTGCTCCCAGCCCCACCAGCCCAGGCCCAGCTCCACAGCTGGGACAGGTTTGATGGAAAGGGAATTTTTATGAATGAGAAGGTGAGGGGGAATGGCTTACACTGAAGTAAGAGAGATTCACATGAGATATTAGAATTTTTTCCTGTGAGGGTGGAGAGATTGTGGCCCAGAGAAGCTGTGCCTGCCCCTGGATGCCTGGAAGTGTCCAAGGCCAGGCTGGAATGGGGATGGAGCCACAGTGGAAGCTGTCCCTGCCCATGGCAGGGGTGGGATGAGATGATCTGCAAGGTCCCTTCCAACCCAAACCACTCCATGATTTAATTTTTCATTAAAAAAATTAAATGGAAAAAAAAAAAGCCAAACTTCACCCTGAGTCAGAGGGACCAGTGCCCTCCAACTGGGTCACACCTGCCTTGGGATGAAGGGGGCACCTGGTGGGATTTGCTCTCATCCCTGCCCTTCACCAAGCCATGATCCTGCCCTGGCCTTGCCTCTGATCCTGGAGCCCTTCCCCAGAGCCCTCAGCCCATCCCAGGGGATCCTGCCCAGCTCTGGGCTCTGAAATGCAGCTCAGGGCAGTGAAATGCAGTTCAGGGCAGTGAAATCCAGCTCAGGTCAGTGAGATGAAGCTCTCAGCAGTGAAATGCAGCTCTGGGCTCTGAAATGCAGCTCAGGGCTCTGAAATGCCCCCAGCCTGTCCCAGGAATTCAATGAAGCTCACTCAGCACCTGGCCTAGAAGCCAGGCAGTAACCCTGGCTGTTGTTTAGCACATCACAACTGTGAGAGCTAAAAATTTCCCTTTCTTCCTTTGCTGTTACTTCCCTGACCTTCATTAGTTCTGCAAGCACCGAGTGCTGAGCCCATATGGAGACAGTTATCATAAAAAACTGAATCCTGGCCCCTTAATTAGCTCCTCATTATCTGAGAGCTCCATATTGAAGCATTAAGAACTTGCACAGCAATTTGTTGAGTTTCCAATTAAAACTTTTTTAGAATTGTTGAGCCTTTTAATACTTTGTGTTTACAAATTGCCTTGGACCCACACCAACACACACATTTCCTTCACTGGGGAAATCTCACTGAGGAGCTGCTCGTTATTTATGTAAAACCCCAGGTTTTAATAAAGTCATAAACCATGTCAATGAGGCTGCTCTTTTCATACCTGATACAATAGAGATGACTCTGAATGAGTGCAGAGGAGTTAGAATCATTAAGAGGGCAATTAGAGGCTGATTTCCTAATAACTCCACTTTTACAGCACTGTAAAAACAAATGTACACATCCCTCTTTATATTCATTTACCTTGGATGGGCTCCTGCCTGTTGACAGGTCCTGAGACCTTCTGTTCCAGCACTTTGCAGCCTCAGGATCATCAGGAATAAATAAAAGCCAGCTGGGCATGGATTATATTCAGTGGCTCGCACCAACTGGGAGCTGGGGGAGTGCAGCTACAAACACAGGAGGAAAACTGGGTCTCCTTTGAAACCCATGGGCAGATTCACCACGGTGGCCAAAAACGTGGGGAGGTGAGTGACCACTGGAGAAGGCCAGGGATGAGCTGCTCCTGAAATGTGCAGAGAAGGGAAGCAGCAGTGGCTCTGCTGGCCTGGAGAGGGACGCAGGGATGTGCTGAAAATCTCTCAAACGTGGCTCCCAAGGCTTCTGGAAGGGATGGCCATGCTCCCATCACATCCACGAGGATAAAGGAGGGTGCAGCAGAACGGGCAGCAGCCCTCAGGGGTTTAACTCACCCCAAATCAATTCTTCCTCCTGAAAACCAGACCCAGGAGGAGGAAATCCATGGCTGTCAGGAATACATTGTGCAACCACCACAGCAGGAGAAGGGTTTGGGGTGTGGCAGAGCCCTGACAGCCTCAGGAGCCACAACCTGAGCTGGGCTTTTGCTGCCAGCGCTTGTGATAATACAGCACTTATCTTCTCTGGGACGTTGTAAAGCCAGAGC